GGGGCGCGGCCAGTCAGTGTGGCCAGCTCTTTTTTCTAAGATAGAACCCCGACAGTAAACAGTTTGGGGAAGAGGAGGACAAGACCCGGACACAGAGCCGGGCCACAAAGCCCGGCCACAGAGCCCAACGACAGACTACACAGAGTTTCATGGGCGCGGCCAAGAGAAGGACAAGAGGAGGACAAGGCCCGGATACAGAGCCTGGCCGCAGAGCCCGGCCAGAGCCCAGCCACAGAGTTCAGGGGCGCGGCCAGTGAGTGTGGCCAGTTCTTTTTGGTAAGATAGAGCCCCAGCAGTAGACTGTTTCCCTCCTCACGCTGCACGATCGCAGGCCCGGACTAATGTCTGACCACAGTGAGACACAAACCGGCAAACTACGAACGAAATGAGCGAGCGAAATGGCTTCAAGGCATGCGCTAACCAAAATGCGGAAACAGTTCTAAGAGGGTGTGCGTCCACACTAAGTGACCTAACTAATCCGGGAAAGTAATACGAAGTGGTCCCTTAGCGGGAAGCTTTGCAAGAAAAGCCTGGAAGGCGGAAACCGCAGCGTGCTCAAAAAAACACCCCTATACCAGAGGCACGAAAACAACAACAGGGATCTCGAGAAGGCCACGCGATCAGCAGGGAACACGGACGATCCCGGGTTCCTCTCAAAGGCCCTAACCGTGTTAGCCATCATACGAATCTGAGCGAAGATAGGGGCAGGCATGGCCAATTCATTACCTTTAACATCCTTTAACTTCCCTTACGCAATAGGCCGGTCTGGATTTGTTCTTACCTCCAACACTCTGGATTTGTTTGGGGAAAAAGCGATACACACCAAATCAACGGATTCCTTGTGATTCCAAGGGGCCCAATTCTTAGCAGAACCCTAAGTGAAAAAACTGCCCGGTCCAGCCATCTCGAAGGTTCCACCAAAGTCTAACAACAGCTCCAAAATCAACACCCCCGAAAGCCCCCCAAGACACCGTGCGTGACGGCCGAGTGTGAAACAGATGCAAAGACTGGAAAGATTGTTCTAGTACATTGCTGGACGTCGCTTACTGTATCACAGGTACCTGATGGGTATGTTTGTTAGCAGCGGTCTCATCAGCACCTCCGGTGTCCCTGCTTTGAAACACAGAAGCCACAAGGCTCCCTCTGATTCCAAACACATACACACACATCTTTTCGCATCATGCCACCCAACCCATCTCGCCTCATCCATGATCACTCCTCTGCCATCTTTGTTGTGCAAGGGAAGCTAGTGTTCCTCCAGCTTCCTTCCGTTGATTGCAAGTGTGTACTGCGCAGTTATCATTATTACAGCACAACATTTTTCAATATGGTGCACATCATATCCTTGGTAGTCCTTGGTGAGCAACCAGGCAAAGCAGGCAAAGCCCGAGGTGCTCTCACCCGAATTGAGCCTACCTGCGCGTACTAGCGCATTTTGGCACCGGCGCCCTGAGGCTGACAGTACACTTTGTGCCTGGACATCGCACAGCGCTGCACAGCTTCATGCCATGCCTAATTGCGCGCCAGCAAATTAAAAGACAATTGTATACCCCCAACTACTAAAGGTCTAGGATGGGAGGGCTCTAGGTCCCGCCAGGCATAGGGTCTAGGATACTCATTGTGTGCATAGTAGACCCTAAATCGTTGAGCATTTTAGACCTTTTCAACTTTTCAGACTTGTCACCTTCAAATGCTTTCAGATTTCATTTTGGTATAGAGCCATTTTGGTTCGACAATCGACCAATGGAGAAGAATGACACTGATGTGCCCACCAAGATGCTATCTCAAAACACACGCGCAAGGAATCAAGCCGCCCACCAGGATGCTATGTCAAAACTCACAAGGAATCAAAACTCTTCAGGCCCCTTCGGTAAATCATCAGGTGAATGCCCATGAATGTCCTCCATACCATACTGATCCAGTTCTCAGATATTGGTGGAAAGCAGCTGAAGGTCTAAAATGGATTCCTCAAGCTCCTGTGTATTAAAGATTGCACAGGTCACCAGGAACAATACTTT